ATTGTTAACCAGATATTTTGATTTATAAGCACTAGGTAGCTCATGCTCTAGTGGTAAATTTTTGGAAAGAATCGTACAGTTCGATCATACCTAGGGAAGGTAGAGCTCCCAATGTAAAGAAAACATACCTGAGCTTAAATTTCCCACATAGGAATAAGAGTACAGTTTTCACTTTGTTATGATTCTCACTCAATCTCCCTAGGGGTTAAGTTATTCAGAAATAGATTAACAAAAGAATTTATTTTTAATTGGGAGGTTTGGAATTCATACCTGGATGTCACTGAAAAGATAAATGCTCCTTTCCTACCCCTTCACCCTAAACTGACTGACCTAAGACCAAGAAAAACAACAATGTTACTGAGCCTGGTCTATTTCCCTCCATAACTAGAGTCATTTCTGTGCCTTTTCTGGGATCCCCCGCACCCTCTGTCATCCCACCCATCAACGCCGGAGCTCCTTCTCCCTGCTGCGGTCTGGAGCCGTGTTTGGACTCAGTAAGTGTTTGGCAGAGGAGTGTGTATCCGCGTGTGTGTGACAGGATTCTGCCAGCAGTGGCCCAGGTACAAGGACATGGGTGGTGGCTCCAAAAATCTAATTAAAACTGGTAAAAAGTTTAGGTTCATGACTTTTATTAACTTTTGTGTGGAAGTAACAATTATAAATTATGTAAGGTTCAAGTGTACATCATTATAAACCATACGTGTATATGCTACCTTAACTTCACAACTAAAAGGTGATCTTAGTTCTATCTTATATGGTGCAATGACCTCGTTCCCCTGATTTATCCACCTGACTTCCCCCTCCCGTCTGGATAGGTTTATGATGTTGAAAGGGACGACACATGAAGAGAAAATTCAACACGATGATGCCAACAGATTTGCTGTCTTACTGATAACTTTAATGGTGATGTGACTGTCATTTCATTGCTTGGCATGATATTGCTTATTAGACTAACATGGACATTCTATATTTAAGTAAATATATATTGAGTAAATATTGGATGCAAACATCACATAAGTTTTTGGAGTACAACATTATAATTCAAGATCTGTACGAAACACCAACAGTGTCGTTTCTATCCTTATCCATACCATTGACTGCAATTGATCTTTTATCATTTAAGAACATATTGTTTATTAATGTACTTACTTACCTTTATCTATTTATTTATTTTATTGTTAAATTTTATATGATAAATTATTGACTGTAAATAGCCTGTGTCAGACCATAGAGTCGAGTATTTGAAATATCTCAGTAACGTGGAGAACACTTGATGGGGGATATTGTACTCTGGCAGCTGATAGAGGTGAATCGGTGGTGGTGGTGGAGGTGTGACCCTCTATCTCTGCATCATGCAATGTGTGTAAGCCAGTGTGATCTCAATGAAGAAAAATCTCATTGCACACACACAGAGCAGTGGTTTGAATTTGCCCTAATTTCCTTTTACATATATCTTGGTTAGAGAGGAGAACATTTTATCCCCACAACATGAGATTCTGACAATAATGTCATTTTACTTATGTTCCTAGGTGAGAAACATGGCATAACTTGAAGGAGCACAACTGCTGTGAGTGGTTGTACTGAGTTTTTACCAATGAACAAGCAAGAACGCTGAGATGTGGGTGACCACAGCCTGCTCCACTGCGGGACACTCCACATGGATATCAGGATGGGGGGTGCCTGTTCATGTGTCTAAGGCTGAGATGAGACGCATTTCACTATGGCCATCATGGGCTCCTCAGTAAGAGCGGTATCAAGAAAACGGAATTAACTGAAATATGGGCTGAAATTTTAACAATATCTCTTTGAAATAAGCATTATCAATCAGTAGTTTTAGTTTTTGATTTTTCTTCGTGCATAACACTTAACTTGTAGATGTTTCTAATTCTTACTATCTTCCTCAAGACTCAAGACTTCCTGTGACAGATCTCACAGTCTAATTGGAGACCTTGGTACAAAGCATGTAATGATAATGATGTGGTAAGTCATACACACACAGAATATACAAACACAGTGACAGTGTTGTGACGTGAGCCAGCTCCCTGGGGTGGGGTAAGGCTGGTATTCAACAGTTTCCTCCTGAACGCACAGGATTTTATCAGGTTTCTTTTAAAGAAGAAAAAAGTGGGTCGAGGAGTTACTGTTTCAATCTCTTTACATTCATGTGTATATTGTGTCATTATCATTACCTATACTAATGCCTCACAGAGGATATAACTTCCAAAGTCATAAATCTAAGAAGTGTCGGGTTCACATTTAGGTCCATTGTCTGGATGAGACAAAATACAGTCTTCCTGCCCCTGTGAAAGAATATGTTAAAATAACTACCTCTAAAAGATGCAATGTCAACTGGTCAAGGATATTTCTGGAGACCCACATTTTTAAATTGAAGAAAAATCATTTAGAGCATCATTTTTGATTAGATTACAGGATCGCCCCTTCAGGTGTTCTCACCATACCACACCCAGCACCAGAGCTCCCACAGTCCCTGACCACAGCCTATGGGGCTCCCTCCCCACTGCCTCTCTCCCCCACTCTCCCCTTCCCTGTGGTAGCCTCAGTTCTACAGTCAGAATTGTGGGTTGTTACTGGTTTGACTTTAACTGAACATTGTTTTGCTTCTCTATATAGACCCACCTTTAGTCAATGATTTCTTGAATACAAATTATAGAAGTCAGTAATGCCACCCTCATAAAAAAGGTAAGTTATAGGAGGAATATGTGACAAAGCCAGGGGAAATGGTGAGCAGAGTCTTTCTTTATAGTTCAAGGTTCCTTTCTTCAGTTCCGTGCAGCTCTATATGCCGCAGAGGGCCATGTAAGATTAAGGTGCCTAGTGTAAGGATTTGACTTCATCTGCTGGGAAATGGTCACCAGAATGACTTTAGACCAGCAGGCTTCAGTGACTGATCCCCAGGTTGGAAAGCCTGAAATCTTTCATCATCATCATCATCATCATCATCATCATCATCATCATCATCATCTCTTTCTGTTCCTGTCTGCTCTACATTGAATCACAGCCAGCACTGTCTGATACCCAAGTCTAAGTGCCAACCTCACTCTCCCCACCTTTGCAGATTATTCCCCTGGTTATCAAATTTATTGAACCATAATATTATAGATTAATGATTTTCAAATGGCTATAAAGTTGAGAAATAACATTGTAGAAGCTAATGAATTTATATATTTATAGATATAAATATATATTTAACTTTATAAAATACAGCAATTCTTCATGTTGAGTAGCTGACATTTCCATCAGTTTACAGAGCTGTCATTTCTTATAGTGACAACCTTTGAGACCTGGTTTCCCAGCACCTTTGAAATGCATGGTCATGGGGTTGGCTGTGATCCCCATGCATGCAGGAGGTCTCCAGGATTTATTTGGTTCTACCTGCCAGTTGGCGCCCTTTAATGTGCACAAATTGTTCTTTAAAACATTAACACATTTAATATTCTCAGAAGTGTTATGCAATAGTGCAATTAATAACCTTATTTCACAACCAAGAAACCAAGGCATTCATAGATTACGTCATTCAAGACCAAGGGGATGTAGACCTAGGACTCGAAGCCAAGTAGTCAGACTCTTTGTGAATCCTTTGACCAGGGTCCTTATTGCCTCACCTGGCTTGATGGCTAGTCACTGGCTTAGGGGCCACTTCACAATCCTAGGGAAGGTGTTTCCTCATCCCAGATCTGTGACTGATGATTCCCATCAAGGATTACCCCTGAGATCATTATGCAGAATCTCAGTGCCATTTCCACTTTCCCAGGGGAAAAACTGTTGGGCCTGGTTGGGCCAGAACCACTGCCTGATCCACTGGGAGTGGCACCTGGTGCTATTCCCACCACAGAGCAGAGTATGGTTGGGGTGTCTGCAACACACAGGATCTGCCAAATGCTAAAGTGTAGGGTGTGGGGAGCAGAATTACCCAGGAGGCAAATATTATCCTCATAAAAGGAAACTTTCATCGAGGTCCTGACATGGAGTGATTCTCAACTGGACACCACGGAGGTTGATGGTCTAGCAAATAGATCTGGGAGCAATGACCAATTTGTGATAAAGGTCAGAGGAAATTTGTTTTCCCTAAAATGCTCATTGTACAAGGTAGTGACACCTGAAACCTCTTTTAGAGAATGACTATTATTAGTAAGTTCAGATTCTAAAGTTTCTTCTAAAGAACATCTTCTCCAATTCTTAGTGCCTTGTTCTCTCTCATTTTAGAATCTCAAACCTCCCTCCACAGGAATTATTTTGTGGGGAATCCGCACTTCTATTATATTCTTTTCCATAGCTGTAGACTCTCCTTAGATTGTCTGTGTCCTGTCATTTATTGGTGACTGACTGGTGGAGACAATGAGTATTTAATCACTAGTAAGGCAGAAAGTAGAATTGGACAGCACTTTGTCTAATGCACAGGGCATTAAAGGTTTCTTCCTAATGACTGTACTTTTTGATTATATCCCACTATGTTATATACTCATCAGTTAACAGTTGTTTTGACTGGTTTGTTGTTTGATCTCGTGTCAGTAGTTTCATGGAAAAATATTGAGAATATTTCAGATACTCAGTAAAACTCACCCATTTTCTCTTCACATCTAGCATTCTCTTTAAGCATTCAGGAGACTCCGAAATATAAATTGCAGCGGATTGCCTTAGGTTATTAATGAATGTTACACACCTATTTTAGTGTTTTCACATAATATGACCTTTTGACTCTGTGTTATAATCACCATTAACAATGTTTGATGAAACTGCCTTTGGTTTCCTCTTTTAGTAATGACTCCTATCAGGCTGTTAACTACAGAAATGGGTGTTGCATAAACCGAATGTAACACTATTGTGATTGTCATTATGAAGTCTATTGACCTTTATTTATGAATGAATGTGTTAATATCCATAATAGAATGAAATCAGATCCCCATTCCTAGAACATTTGGTTTAGTTTCCACTGGTTGTTCATCAAACTCTGCTCCTTCTCTCGCAGCAGACATCCCAACTACATGGAAACAGGAAATCATTCAGGAGCATCTCAGTTCCTCCTCCGGGGCCTCTCCGACAATCCTTCCCTGCAGCCCCTCCTCTTTGGACTGTTCCTGTCCATGTACCTGGTCACCGTGACAGGGAACCTGCTCATCATTCTGGCCATCAGCTCTGACCCCCACCTGCACACCCCCATGTACTTCTTCCTCTCCAACCTGTCCTTTGTTGACATCTGTTTCACCTCCACCACTGTCCCCAAGATGCTGGTGAACATCCAGGCACAGAGCAAAGACATCTCCTACACAGGATGCCTTACTCAAGTATATCTTTTTATGATTTTTGCTGGAATGGACAACTTCCTCCTGACCGTGATGGCCTATGACAGGTTTGTGGCCATCTGTCACCCCCTGCACTACATGGTCATCATGAACCCCCGCATCTGTGTCCTTCTGGTTTTGATGTGTTGGCTTGTCATTTTCTGGGTTGCTCTGGTTCATATTCTTCTGATTATGCAGATGACATTCTGTGCAGGCACTGAAATCCCACATTTCTTCTGCGAACTAGCTCAAATTCTAAAAGTAGCTTGTTCTGACACTCTCATCAATAACATCCTCATGTATGTGCTTACTGCCTTATTGGTTGTGTTTCCTGCTGCTGGGATCCTCTACTCTTACTCTCAAATCATCTCCTCCTTAATGAAGATGTCCTCCTCCACCAGCAAGCGGAAAGCCTTCTCCACCTGTGGGTCTCACCTCTGTGTGGTCTTCCTGTTCTATGGGACAGGCCTGGGGGTCTACCTCAGTTCTGCTGTGACTCATTCTTCAGAGAAAAGTTCAGTTGCTTCAGTGATGTACACGGTGGTCACCCCCATGCTGAACCCCTTCATCTACAGCATGAGAAACAAGGATGTGAAGGGGGCCCTCGGAAAGCTTCTCAGCAGAGTATCCCCTTGTCTTTTGTGGGTGTCTGGGCTTAGAAGTTACTGAACATTGTGGGTCTCAATGGTATATATTGCAAATCTCAATATGTTGATGGCCCACCCCCTAAAACAGATGTTTATTTCATTTTGAAAATATTTTTTCTCTTACATATATTTTTTCTTTTTTATCAGTTACTCCTCATTGACTCATTCATTGTTTTTTGTTTGTTTGTTTGTTTGTTTTTTCCCTTTATGGATCCAGTAGGTTTACTTCTGGTCAACTTTCCAATGAGATTTACAACCTCTGATTTGAAGCACTGATAGAGAGTGCTGATATATTTTCCCTAATAACTGTCTTCAAATGTTGAAGTTTTTGGCCCTACTTAATAGTACATTTTTTCCATGAATAAAAGAATTGAAAATAACACTAAGATCATAATAAACTGCTTACCATTTCTTCACGTGTATTCAAATCTTCTGAACAAGATCTTTGACGTATTTTCTTTACTAACTTCTCTTTTCAGAAGAGTCTAAGTTAATGCATAATAAACTAGCCATTTAAAACTGAGCCTTCAACCTACCTTTGTTCTAATCTTCATGTGAACAGTGAATTGAAATGAACCTCAAAGTAGGAATCTAAATTTGAAAGATGGGTTGTTTATATGTCCCATTGTATATTCCAACTGGGAGAGCTCTTGAGAAAATAGCTTCATTCTTGGAGATCGTTCTTTTCATCCATTTTTTTTTCATTCTTCCCTTCTATTTCCTTCTTTCCTCCTTCCTCACCCCACCTTAGATTTAACTTCTTCCAGTTTAAACACATACTGGTCACAAAACAAAAACTGCAAAAGCAGTTCTAAGAGGGAAATAGATAGCATACAGCCCCAAAAAAGAAACTGGAAAGAGTCCAAACAAACAACATTGCTTCTCAACTCAAGGAACTAGGAAAAAAAGAACAAAAAAAGCCCAAAAATCCAGCAGGAGAAGGAAATAATAATGATTAGAGGAGAACTAAATGAGCTAGATATAGAAAATGCAATCCAAAAGATCAATGACACCAAAAGTTGGTCTTTGAAAAAATAAAATAGACACCTCGACCTAGGCTCACAAGGAAAAGAGGGAGAGAACTCAAATACAGGATCAGTAATGAAAGAGGAGAAGTTACGGACACTGTGGAAATTCAGAGGGTTAAGAAGTGATTACTAAGAACATTTAAATGCAAACAAATTCAACAACTTAGATGAGATGGATCCAGTCATCTAAGACAAAATAGGAAAGAAACAGAAAACCTGAAAACCAATCATAAGCAAGTAAACTGAAAATAATCAAAATAATCAAAACTCCCTGCTCAGACACTTTAAAAAAAATCAAGAATGAAGGAATTCTCCCAAATACATTTTATGAGGGCAAAAATATTCTAATAACAAAACCATTAAAAAAAAAGACAACACAAAGAAGGAAAAATATAGTCCAACCTCCATAGTTAACAAAACACAAAACTCCTCACTAAAATCATAGCAAACCGAATACAACGATGGATTAAAGAGAGTATATACCATAAACAAGTGGGATTTATAAAAGGGATTCAAGGATGGTTCAATTTCAATTTAATTCACATCAATTAAAGAAAAAATACATATGAACATATGAATAGATTCTGAGAAAGCACTTGATAAGATTCATTGACATTTATTATAAAAATCCTGGAAAAATCAGAGTAAGTGGAATGTATCTAACATAATAAAAGCCACATATGAAAATAAACCCTTAAAGCTGACTACAGAGTGCAACATCCAGAGAGGAGGGGGAAGAGGTGAGGACAGAGCAGGAAAGGAACATGTGTCTGTGTTGTGGACTCTGGGTGGTTTAGTGCTGGGTCATGACCGTCCTGACCTGAAGGGGAGTCTAAACTCTGAGACACCAGCAATAATGAAACCCAATGTTACCTCAATAAAGAAATTAAATAAATACATAAAAAGTAGATTTTATTATTTTATACAATGAAAAAATTTGTTACCCTGAGTAGATTTTTTCTCTTTCATTATTTAATGTGAGAAATATGAGTAATACAGTAAGTACACACATTCCAACTCCCATCAAAAGCTATATTAACATCTAGCAGTATTTTCCTTCAGTCACTTTTCTCTTTCACAGACTCACTGCACAGGTAGTGTGACAGTAGAGTGCGTCTACATTATGAATCCTTTAAATAAAGCCCAACAGCTTTAGAGAGAAAATGAACTTCCCTTTGAGACACAGGAGACTCATTCTTGACCTGGGAAGCAGCAGAAAACTCTGCTGTTTCGTCTTCCAGTCCAGGCTTCTTGTTTCATTGACCATGTGTGTTTCTCTCTCTAAGATTCCATCATCCTCATATCTCAAAATTCTAAATGAGTTTCTGATATTTACTTATAATTTCAGACTATCAGCTTTGCTAAACATTGTATGCAATTATTCTTTGTCTGGCATGTATATTTCAATGTCATTTTTTTCTTTTTTGGTATATCTTTTAAATGTAAGGTCTATTTTTTTGTCACACAATTTGATGAACTCAAAGTTAAAAATCTTTATCACTTATAATTTTATCACCATAATTATAATCATTATCTTTATTGGAAATAAAAAATTTTAACAGCTTTCACCAAAAGTTCAAATATGTATTTACAATTTCTGAATTTACACCTCTATGATTTATTTTTCTTCAGTAGGAAGTAGCAACTAATTATTTCTCCAAAAAAAACCATACCTTTTCTATTGCTATATTCCTTCCATTCCCAGTGGCTTATAAATTATCTCTTTATTTCTTTCAAATTGTGGTGCAACAAGTTTCTATGGACTATGAAATCAAGAACTGGTCCAGTGCCAACTGCCATTTACAACACATGCTCTCAGGAAATTTCCGTTTCTGTTTACTACGTTACTCATCTTAAAATTAGAAGTAATATCATGTCAGGAGTGTCTGTGCACATCAGTAAGGCAGTAATGACACACGTTATAGTGCTCACATTGTATTTCTTAGTAATGTGACAGGTTCTTTTATTCCAGTCTCATCTTATAGGACAGGTCTGCTTAGGATGCTGCAGAGACTCAGAGACTCTGCCAAATTGTTATCTAAATGTTTTGATTCACAAGCACTAGGTAGTTCACACTCTAGTGGGAAATTTTGTAAAGATCCTTACAGTCAGATCACACCTAGGAGAGGAGAGTTCCCAATGTAAAGAAAACAGGCCTGAGATAAAATTTGCCACGTGGGAATAGAGAGTATTCTTCCCTTTGTTATGATTCTTGCTCTATCTCCCTAAGGGCTAAGTTGTTCAGAAATAGAGGCCTTTTTTTTTTTTTAATTGAAAGCTTTGAGAATTCAAACCTGTATTTCCCTGAAAAGATAAATACTCCTTTTTTTGCTCCTCTGCCCCAAGCTGACTGACCTAAGACCAGAAAAACAATAATGTTACTGAGCCTGGTCTATTTCTCTCCATAATTAGAATCATTTCTGTGCCTTTTCTGGGACCCTCTCATCCTCCATTATCCTGTCCATCAGCACCGGCAGCTCCTTCTCCCTGCTGCGGTCTGGAGCTGCGTTTGGACTTAGTAAGTGTTTGGGCAGAGGAGTGTGTGTCTGCGTGCATGTGATAGGATTCTGCCAGCAGTGGCCCAGGAACAAGGACATGGGTGGTGGCTACATGAAGCTAATAAATATTAATAAAACATTTATTTTATGATTTTGTTTTTCACTTTTAATTTTTTATGGAAGTAACATTGAATTATAAATAATCTAAGTTCCATTATAATCCACACCTGCATATACTACACAAAGTTCACCCCTAAAAGTTGATCTTAGTTCTATCTCCAATCATGCAGTTGGCCCCATTCTCCTTGTTTAAGCACTGCTCTTCCCCTCCCCTTCTGGAGAGGGTTGTGACTTTGAAGGGGATGGCAGACTGGAGAGAAAATCAAACAATTCAACATGATGCTGTCAACAGACTTGCTTCTCTTACTGTACCTTTTATGGTGATGTGACTGTCATTGCAATGTGGTATGACATTGCCTCTTGGTTTGGGATGGACATTCTATATTTAAATAAATATATTGATAAATACTGGATCACAATCAACAAGCAACTATAAACCAGAGACACACAAACGAGGGTGGAGAGGAGGGATGAGGGTCAAAATAAGGGAGGTGGGAACTGTATGGGGACTATAACCAAGATGAAATACATCCCCTGGGAAGAGGGGGATATTGGGATCTGGTGGAGGATACGGGTGCCTTTGTGGTGTGTGTGGGGTGTGACCCTGTATCTCTGCATCACGCAGTGTGTTGTAAGCCAGTGTGATCACAATGAAGAAAAAAATCTCATACAGTGTGCAAAAATGATGTAAAAATATATAAAATAAAATTTAAAAAACCCCCCAAAAAACATTGGGTTATAACATTACCTAAGTTTCTGGAGTACAACACTATAATTCAAGATCTGTATAAAACGCCAACAGTGTAATTTCTATCTTTATCCATATAGTATTGCCTGCAACTGATCTTTTATCATTTAAGAACACAGTTGTTTCTTAACATACTCACTTACTTACTTATTTACTTTATTTATTTATTTATTTTTAAAATTTACTTATTTTTATACAAGAGCTTGGGTACAGGCCAGAGGCTCGGGAGGGTGAGAGGATTCACCAGAGACAGAGCGGGGAGCAGAACAAGCAGACGGACCGAAAATACTGCTGAGGGGAGCAGTGGGTGAATCAGGAGAGGTCTGCCGTGCCATGTGGGTATCTCTCTGGCTGGCTGGGAATTGAACTCGCTCTGCAGAGGCTGTGGACAGCTCCACAGCACTGTGCTCAACCCGCTGTGCCACCAAGGAGGCCAATTTACTTTATTTATTCATTGTACTGCATTGTTAAATTTTACATGAAAATTATTGAGTTTTAATAGCCTATGTCAGACCATGGAGTGGAGTATTTGAAATATATCAGCAACATGGAGAACACTCTAGGAAGAGGTGATATTGGGATCTGGTGGAGGATACGTGTGTCTCAGTGGTGCGTGTGGGGTATGACCCTGTAGCTCTGCATCACACAGTGTGTTGTAAGCCAGTGTGATCACAATGAAGAAAAAAATCTCACTGCACACACACAATAGAAGTTTGAATTTGCTTTAACTTCCTTTCCATATCTCTTGGTTAAAGAAGAGCACTCAGTATTCCCACACCGTGAGATTTTGACAATAATGGCATTTTATTTATGTTCCTCGGTGAGAAACATGGCATAATTAAAGAAGCTCAACTTCTGTGAGTGGTTGTACCGAGTTTTTGCCAAAGGACAGGACAGGCAGGAACGATAAGACTCAGCCAGCCCCCCTGAGGGACACTCCACGTGGAAATTAGGCGGGGGAGGCCCATTCATGTTTAAGGCTGAGATGAGACACGTTTCACTAGAGCCATTATAGGCTCCTCAGTGAGAGGGGTATCAAGAAAATGGAATTAATGTTGAAATATGGGCTGAAATGAACACTATGTCTTTAGAATAAGCTCATCAGTCATAGCAGTTTTACTTTTAAATTCTTCTGGGTGCATAAACTTATCAGTGGTTCTAATTCTTATTATCCTCCTTAATGACAGATCTCACAGTCTAATTGGAGACCTTGTTACAAAGCATGTAATGATAACAATGTGGTAAGTCATACACACAGAATATACAAACACAGTGACAGCACTGCAACATGGGCCACCCTCCCGGGGTGGGATGAGGTTGGTATTCAATAGTCTCTTTCTGAACACACAGGATTTTGTCAGGTTCTTTTACAGAAGAAAAAGGTGGGCTGAGGAGTTATTGTTTCAAGTTCTTTACATTCATGAGTATATTGTGTCATTACCATTACCCATACTAATGCCTCAGAGGGGGTTAGTCACTGGCTTAGGGGTCACTACAATCCTAGGGAAGGTGTTTCCTTATTCCAGATCCTAGACTGATGTTTACCAACAAGGATTAGCCTTTGATGGGATAATTATGCAGAATCTCTGTGCCATTTCCACATTGCCAGGGGAGAAACTGTTGGGCCAGTTGGGCCAGAACCACTGCCTGATCCACCAGGAGTGGCTCCTGGTGCTGTTCCTGCCACGGAGCAGAGTGGCGTTGGGGTGTCCACAACACACAAGTCCTGCCAAATGCTAAAGACCCAATCAGGCTGCTGCCAAAGAAGTGGGTGTTGCATTAACTGAAGCTAATTACTATTGGTGTTATCATTGGATGCCTCCTCATTGAACTATATTTGTGCATAATTGTGTTAACATCCATCACAGCATGAAAGCAGATCTCCTTTCCCAGAACATTTGGTTTAGTTTCCACTGGTTGATCATCAAACTCTGCTCCTTCTCTTGTAGTAGACACCCCAACTACATGGAAACAGGAAATCATTCAGGAGCACCCCAGTTCCTCCTCCGGGGCCTCTCCGACGACCCTGCGCTGCAGCCACTCCTCTTTGGGCTGTTCCTTTCCATGTACCTGGTCACCGTGACAGGGAACCTGCTCATCATCCTGGCTGTCAGCTCCGACCCCCACCTACACACCCCCATGTACTTTTTTCTTTCCAACTTGTCCTTTGCGGACATCTGTTTCACATCCACGACCATCCCCAAGATGCTGGCGAACATCCAGGCACAGAACAAAGGCATCTCCTACCTGGGATGTCTCACTCAGGTGTATTTTTTTAATGTTTTTGCTGGACTGGATACTTTGCTCCTGACCGTGATGGCCTATGACCGGTTTGTGGCCATCTGTCACCCCCTGCACTACATGGTCATCATGAATCCTCGCCTCTGTGTCCTCCTGGCTTTGATGTGTTGGCTCGTCATTTTATGGGTTTCCCTGGTTCATGTTCTTTTGATAGCACAGCTGACATTCTACACAATTACTGAAATCCCACATTTCTTATGTGAGCTGGATCAGATTCTAAAAGTAGCCTGTTCTGACACCTTCATCAATAACATCTACTTGTATGTGACTTATGCCCTGTTTGGTTTTTTTCCTGCTACTGGAATCCTCTATTCTTACTCTCAAATTGTCTCCTCCTTAATGAAAATGTCCTCCTCTATCAGCAAACATAAAGCTTTCTCCACTTGTGGGTCTCACCTCTCTGTGGTCTCCTTGTTCTACGGGACAGGCCTGGGGGTCTACCTCAGTTCTGATGTGACCCATTCTTCAGAGGAAAGGTCAGTTGCTTCAGTGATGTACACGGTGGTCACCCCCATGCTGAACCCCTTCATCTACAGCATGAGGAACAAGGATGTGAAAGGGGCCCTCGGAAAGCTTCTCAGCAGAGCAGCCTCTTGTGTTTTATTGGCCTCTGGCCTCAGAAGTTAGTGAACATTGTGGGTCCAGGTGGTATTATTGCAAATAGTAATATCCTAATACCCCCGTTCAAATATATATATATAGTTTTGTTTTGTTTTGAAAAAATGTTCTGTTCATCATATTTATATGTGTGTGTATTTCTATAAGCTTCTACCCATTGTCTCACTCAGTGTTTTTTTGTTTGTTTTATGCCATTTATGCAGTCAGTTATTTTCTTCTGGACTGCTTTCTTATGAGATTTACAACCTCAGATATGAAGCACTGATACACACTCTTGATTCGGTTTCCTTAATAATTGTCACCAAATGTAGAAGTTTTGGGTTCAACCACAGGTAAAAATAAGGACATAATCACCTTAAACAAAGAACTAGAGGGTATGCATCTCATATATATCTATAAGGATGAATATACTTTTTTTTTCAACTGCACATGGGTCATCCTCTAGTTTAAACACATACTGGTCACAAGACAAACATCAGCAAATTCATGACAATTGAAATCATACCAAATATCTTTTCTGTTCATCAACATACTTAACTACAAATCAAATACAAAAAGAAAACCAGGAAATATTGTTATCCTTCAAGAACTGAACAGCAGCCTACTGTGACTGCCGGGTTAATGAAGAAATAAAAAAAATACCTCAAGACAAATGATGAAGACAAAATCTTTCAGTATATGTGGGACACAGCAAAAGCAATTGTAGAGGGACGTATACAGCAACACAGGCCAAATTAAGAAACTGGAAAGAGCCCAAGAAAACAATATTGTTTCTCATCTCAAGGAACTAGGGGAAAAAAAGAATAAAAAAAATCCAATATCCAGTAGAAGGAGGGAAATAATAAAAATTAGAGATCAAATATATATATTTATATATATATATGGCAGTGCAAAAGATCAATGACAACAAAAGTTGGATCTTTGAAAAAACAAAAATAGACATGACTACCTTGGCTCCCAAAGAAAAAGAATGAGAAAGCTCAAACATAGGATCAAACATGAAAGAGAAGAAGTTACAAAAAGACACTGCAGAAATTCAGAGGATAAGAAGAGATTACTGAGAACATTTAACACAACCAAATTCAACAACCTAGATGAGTGGACAGATCATTAGAATGATCCATTCATCCAAGACCAAATAGGAAAGAGACAAAATCCAGAAGACCACTCATAAGCAAGGAAATTGAAAGTAATCAAAACTCCTCCCAACCCCCAAAACAAAAGTCCATTACCATATGGTTTCACCAGGGAATTTTACCAAACCTTCAGAGATGAAGTAATATTATCCTGCTCAGACACTTTCAAAAAATCAAGAATGAAGGAATTCTCCCAAACACATTTTATAAGGGCAACATTATTCTAATAACAAAACAATTCATAAAAAAAGACAACACAAAGAAGGCAAACTACAATCAACCTCCCTAGTGAACAATGACACAAAAATCCTCAATAAAATCATAGCAAACCCAATGCAACAATGGATTAAAGAGTGCATCTGCCATGACCAACTAGGATTTATAACAGGAATACTAGGATTGTTCAACTTCTTGACTAATATAATTCACATTAATTAAAAAAACAAAAATACATATGATCATATGAATAGATTCTGAGAAAGCACTTGATAAGATTCATCATACATTTATGATGAAATCCCTGGAAAAGTCAGAGTAAGTTGAATGTATCTGAACATAATAAAAGCCATATATGAAAACAAACCCTTACAGCTGACTATAGAGGGGAAACATCTGGAGGTGGGAGGGGGAGGGGTGAGGACAGAGTGAAGGGAGCACATGACTGTGCAGTGGACTCTGGGTGGTTTGGTGCTGGGTGCAAGACTGTGCTGACCTGAAGGGGAGTCCGACCTCTGAGACACAATGAAAATATTTGTTATCTTGAGTAGATTTTTTTCCCTTTTATTATTTTGAGATATTTAATATGAAAAATACAGAGTAATACAGCAAGTATGTGCACTCCAACTTGCCATAAAAAAAAAAAAACTATGAACATCCAGAAGTATTTTCCTCCGTTCACTTTTCTCTTTAATACACTCACTGCACAGGCAGTGTGGTAGGTAGAGTGTGTCTACGTTATAAATCCTTTAAATAAAGCCCAGCAGCTTCAGAGAGATTTTTATGTCCCTTTGAGCCACAGGAGCCTCTTTCTTGCCTTGGGAAGCAGCAGCAAGCCCTGCTGTGTCGTCTTCCAGTCCAGGCTTCTTGTGTCATTGACCATGTGTGCTTCTCGCTATGAGATTCCATCATCGTCATGTCTCCCAGATTGTCATTGAGTTTTCCATGTTGAGTTATCAGTTTCAGATGATCAGATTTTAAATATTCCAGACAATACTTTTTTCGTATATATATTTCAATGTCATTTTTTTGTGGCTTTTCTTTTAAATATAAGGTCTGTTTTTGTCACGCAATTTTATGCATTCAGAGTTAGAAATCTTTATGCTTGTATATGAAAAAATGTTCAACATCACTTGTCATCAGGGAAATGCAAATCAAAACTACCATGAGATACCATCTCACACCAGTGAGAATGGCACATATTAAAAAAACTAGCAACAACAAATGTTGGCGAGGGTGTGGAGAAAAAGGAACTCTTCTGCACTGTTGGTGGGAGTGCAAACTGGTCCAACCACTGTGGAGAGCTGTGTGGAGATTTCTGGACCTACTAAACATAGAGCTTCCATAGGATCCAGCAATTCCACTCCTAGGTATTTACCCAAAGGACACAGAAACATCAATTCCAAAGAACACCTGCACCCCTATGTTTATAGCAGCACTGTTTACAATAGCTAAGCTTTGGAAACAACCCAAATGCCCAGAAATAGATGACTGGATCAAGAAGATGTGGTACATATACACCATGGAATATTACTCAGCATTCAAAAAAGATAAACACATGCAATTTGCAGCAACATGGATGGCGCTGGAAGGGATCATGCTCAGCGAAATAAGCCAGAAAGAAAAAGAAAAATACCGGATGGTCTCACTCATAGCAGGAATCTAGAAAACTTAAATAAGGGATCAGGAAAATGAATAACTATAAGAAAGTGAAAATCAAAATCAACAAAAAACTATGAACCAGAGACACTTTTAGGGGGGCGGGGGCGGGAGGGAGGGATTGGGGTCAGAATGGGGGGGCTGCAATTGTATGGGGAATATAAAAATAAAATTTATTATTTAAAAAAATAAAAATAAAAAAAGAAAGAAATCTTTATGCTTGTGATTTCACCACCACCATAATGAAAATGTAATTAAAATTTTTGTCTTAATTTCAAATACAGACATTTGAATAGTGTCTTCTAATAGCTGAAATATGTTTTGAAAATTTTTGAATGTACGCCTCTTCTGATTTATTTTTCTTCAGTGGGAAGTAGAAACTTACTATTTCTACATGAAAGGCAACTTTTCCTAATGCTGTATTTCCCTCCATTCTTAGTGACTTATGAAAAATCCTTTTTTTGCTTCAAAGTATGAAGCAACAATTTCTGTGTGCTCTGAAGTCACAGCCTGGCCCGATTCCAACTGCCACTTACAACACATATTCAGTAAAGTTCTCCATTTTCTAATAAGTTATGAAAGTTTCTATAAGTTATTATGAAAGGGAAATAAGATCATGTGAGGAGTGTCTGTGCACAGCAGTGAGCTAACATGACACAGGCTGTGGTGCTCAGACGGTATTTCTTAGCAACGTGACATGTTCTGTGATCACAGTCTCGGTTGACAGGACAGGTCTGCTTAGGATGCTGTAGAGACTCAGAGATCCTGACAGATTGTTATAGAAATATTTTGATTCACAAGCACTAGGTAGCTCACACTCTAGTGGGAAATTCTGTAAAGAACCTTACAGTCAGATCACACCTAGGAGAGGAGAGTTCCCAGTGTAAATAACAGGCCTGAGCTAAAATTTGCCACGTGGGAATAGAGTGGCGAAGCAGTATCCACTTATGATTCTCTCTCTCACTGAGGGCTAAGCTGTTCAGAACTAGGTCAACAGTAGGACTGGCTTTAATTAGGAGCTTTGAGAATTCTAACTGCATGTCCCTGGAAAGATAAATGCTCCTGTCCCAGCCCTCCGCCCCAAGCTCACTGACCTAAGACCAGGAAAAACAACAATGTTACTGAGCCTGGTCTATTTCCCTCCATAACTAGAGTCATTTCTGTGCCCTTTTTGGAACCCCCCACACCCTCCAGCATCCCACCCCCCAGTGCTGGCAGCTCCTTCTCCCTGCTGCGGTCTGGAGCTGCGTTTGGACTTGGTAAGTGTTTGGCAGAGAAGCGTGTGTCCGCGTGCGTGTGACAGGATTCTGCCAGCAGTGGCCCAGCAACAAGGACACGGTAGTGGCGACAAGAAGCTCATTGAAACTGTTGAAAAGTTTAGGTTCGTGACTTTGTTATTAACTTTTAAGTTTTTTTATGGAAGTAACATTGAATGATAAATAGTCTATGTTTCAGGCGTGCTTCACTATAATCCACACCTGCATGTATGACTTTAAGTTCACCCCTAAAAGTCTGGTTCTATCCATCATCATACAGTTGACCTGTTCCCCTGATTTATCCACCCTCTTTCCCTCCCTGTCTGGAAGGTTTATGATTTAGAAGGGGATACCGGGGTGAGGAGAAAATTAAACATGATGTCAACAGGCTTGCTTATCTCATGTATGACTTTCATGGGAACTGGCTGTGTTTCAATGCATGGCTGATATTGTCCATTAGTTCGAGATAGACATTCTACGCTTAAATAAATAAATGTGGAGTGAACAGTGCCCCGCACCATTACAGGGGGTCTAGGCACACGGCATTACACAGAGGCCAACATCTGTGTAGACCCCATAGTGCAGCGTCTGTCCTTGTCCATACCATGGAGCCCCTTTTGCCTCTCATCATCCAGGAACACAGACTCTTATGCACTTACTTTAATTTCTTATTTTTTATTTTATTGTTATCATTTACATAATTTTTAAATTGAGGTAATACTGGGATCATAATTCTTTAAATGTCCCTCCAGCCATAATCGTTTCAAATGCTGTCCTTTGGAAGCTCTGTTTAATGACCACTGATTTTAAATTGTGGAAAGCTGTGGTATCTGTTTTAATGAAGTAGCATGTATTTTATGGGTTATGGGAAGCCCGTGCCCCTCCTCCTCCGGGGCTGTGCCTGGACCACCTCGAGCGGGAGGTGAGCGCCCGCCTCGGTCCTGAAGCCCAGACCCAGGAGGGGTGACTCCGGCTCACACTGGCAGGCCCCGCGCAGA